TGAGTTATTAAGTTATTAATAAACTGATGAACATAATGAGTTATTAATCCATCCATCCATCCATTTTCCACCGCTTATCTGGGGTCGGGTCGCGGTGGCAGCAGGTCAAGCAGGCTGACATGTTCCAGCTCATTCTGGAGATCCCGAGGCGTTCCCAGGCCAGCTGGGAGATGTAATCTCTCCAGCGTGTTCTGGGTCTTCCCCGGGGTCTCTTCCCAGTTGGACGTGCCTGGAAAACCTCCAGTGGGAGGCGTCCAGGAGGCATCCTAATTAGATGCCCGAACCACCTCAGCTGACTCCTTTCGACGCGAAGGAGTAGCGGCTCGACTCCAAGCTCCCTCCTGATGACCGAGCTCCTTACCCTATCTCTAAGGCTGAGCCCGGCCACCCTACGGAGGAAGCTCATTTCGACCGCTTGTAGCCGCGACCTTGTCCTTTCGGTCACGACCCAGAGTTCGTGACCATAGGTGAGGGTAGGAACGTAGACCGAGTGGTAAATTGAGAGCTTTGCCTTCCGGCTCAGCTCCCTCTTTACCAAGACGGTCCGGTGCAGCGCCTGCTTTACTGCTGCAGCTGCACCGATCCGTCTGTCGATCTCCCGTTCCATCTTACCCTCACTCGTGAACAAGACCCCGAGATACTTGAACTCCTTCGCTTGAGGTAGGCACTCCGTCCCCACCTGGAGGGAGCAATCCACCGGTTTCCGGCAGAGCACCATGGCCTCAGATTTGGAGGTGCTAACTCTCATCCCCGCCGCTTCACACTCGGCTGCAAACCGCCCCAGTGAATGCTGGAGGTCACGATCCGAGGAGGCTAACAGGACCACATCATCTGCAAACAGCAGAGAGGCGATCCCGAGACCCCCGAACCTGACGTTCTCCGCCCCCAGGCTGCGCCTAGATATCCTGTCCATGAAAATCACGAACAGGACCGGAGACAAAGGGCAGCCCTGGCGGAGACCAACACCCACCGGGAACGTGTCTGACTTATTGCCGAGAATGCAGACACAGCTCCTACTGCAGTCGTACAGAGACCGGATCGCCCGTTGTAACGGGTCCGGCACCCCATACTCCCGCAGCACCCCCCACAAGAACCCCCGTGGGACCCGGTCGAAATGAGTTATTAAGTTATTCATAAACTGATGAACATAATGAGTTATTAATAAACTGATGAACATAATAAGTTATTAAGTTATTCATAAACTGATGAACATAATAAGTTATTAAGTTATTAATAAACTGATGAACATAATAAGTTATTAAGTTATTAATAAACTGATGAACATAATAAGTTATTAAGTTATTCATAAACTGATGAACATAATAAGTTATTCATAAACTGATGAACATAATAAGTTATTAAGTTATTCATAAACTGATGAACATAATAAGTTATTAATAAACTGATGAACATAATAAGTTATTAAGTTATTAATAAACTGATGAACATAATAAGTTATTCATAAACTGATGAACATAATAAGTTATTCATAAACTGATGAACATAATAAGTTATCAATAAACTGATGAACATAAT